CCTCCCTAGCATCCACCTCATTGGGTTTGAGACACCAGAGGAAACATCTTTGACCTTCCTACTCTACAGTCAAGAATAGCTCTAGCTTCTCTGAATTTATCCAGTCCCCTGCTGAACCCAGTTGTGCTATCTCCACCACTTCCCATAACAATAAATGCCACCCGTCAATGTGTTGGGTCAAAAAAATCCTTTAGCTTGTTAGTTTTAAACCTACCACCTACGAATCTCAGCAGTGTGCGGGTCGAGCGGTAAGGCCGTGGGCTGTGGCCAGCAGCCCGGACCGTCAGGTGGGTACTTTTTCATGATGGAGTAGAATCAGGCACGGACTCGTAGTGGTTGAACAAAGAAAGCTTTACTTACACCGTCGATGGTCACAGTGCAGGCAGAAAATTTGCTTGGGTTACAGTTGCAGACAGAAGAAGAAAACCAAAGAAGAGCTCAAAGAACCAGAGCTCTGGCTAACAGACCGGACGAGAGCTCTAGAAACCAAGATGAAAGTCCAAAGGTGACTCTAGATGAGCACGCAGGGTAGGGATACGTCAGGACACAGCGTTCGACGACGGGGAGCAATTGGTGGTTGATCAGGCCGCCAAGTTCTTTCCGAGATACGCACAGAGTTCTCTAGCGATCACTCTGCAACATGCCTCTCTCTCACACTCCTCGGAGTGCTCCAGCTCCAGCTCCAACTTGGGCGGAAACTGCTCTAACCTTTTATACGGCTAGCAAGCCAATCACTAGCCGCCAGGTAGGAATAATTTAGAGTCGGCCAATAGTGGGACACAAATTTGCATACGAATGGTGGGAACTCTCTTGCACCGGAGTTTTCCTCTGCAGCAGAAAACTCCACCGTGCAAAGAAGCTTCACTGTGGCGGGAAATAATTCCACTGTGCCAAGGCACTTAAAATCATTGGGTTATGACAAGCAGGTGCCCCCAAGGTCTAGTTCTGTAGGACTCAGTCAACAACGGTTCCCTGTTCATTTGGTCCATACCTGTATCCTACCCCCACTCAGCCTTCTGCTTTCCAAGGAGAAGGATCTGAGCCTTTTTAGTCTCTCCTGGTATGGCAACAGCTCCAGGCCCCTGATCCTTTGGGCTGCCCTTCTCTGAACTTCTTCTAATTGTACAGCATCCTTTTTGGAGATGCAGGAACCAGAATGACACAAGGGTTCAGATGTGGGAGTCCCACTGACATGTATAAAAGCATAACAACGTTCTCTGCTTTGGTTTCTATTCTCTTCTTAATGTTGCCCAATATATTATATTGGCTTTTTAGGGTCACTGCTGGATACGGGACTGATTTCCTTTCCCAGGGAGCACCCACCTCTGGTTTGGAAAGGAGAAAGTTAAGGAGAGAATAAGATAGGGGTCAACACAATCAGGAAGGGCTGGGACCAAAGGCACAGGCTGGCCTGGGTGTGCAGAACTAGTATCTGCAGCTGGTGGTAATGTCCTCAGTGAGAGAGAGGCCTGGACGGTCCCCTGGCTTGGCACTAGATCACAGCAAAGCAGGGC